TGGGGGAGGGTTTGTAAAACAATGAAAGAATCTTTTCTTTTTTTTAAAAAAAAAAAAAAAAGATGGCCCCTTTGTTTTCTCACATTCGAAGGTGTGCAGTTTTTAAGACAACATTATTTTTCCCCCTGACAATGTTTATTCAAGTAAAATTTATGTCTCTAAAATGTAATGCACTGTTTTAAACAAAATCAAGTATGAAGCAAGGTCAATAGTCAAGTTCGTAGAAGAACAGAGAGGCCATTAGAACCATGTAGACATGTGTTGACAGCACACTGAGTGTTAAGAAAAGAAAATGCCTCCAGAACCGCACTGATAGTTCCTGATGTTGGTGTGCATTCTGACATCATGATCACCAAGGCATCCCGAGGCTGTGGAGTATAGTACTTACTGTTCCTGTTAGCTGTTTTCAAGCTGCAAGGCCACCAGTGTATAATGCAATTTAATGATGGCCAATAATATACCCCTCCCCTGATTGGTCGTGGATAAGATCATTGTGAGCAATAAGATTGCCATTGGCTGATTTTCTTGGCAAGTAGATCCTCAAGCCTTTCCCCTTGTCTCCTGTAGCCTGGAAGCTCCACTGAGACTTATACGACTTCATAGGAACAGGGATGCTTCCCCTGACAGACAGGAGGTGGCTATATATGAGTTGCATTGCCTAACATGAACCCAGTTCTTCTGTTAGGAAAACAAGAGAGTTCTACTACCGAACCTCCATTGTCTCAGAGTTCATTACTTGCTTTAACATTTAATGACATTTTGGAAAATCAGATGAGAGTTTGAATTAACTCATATAATTTCCCCCCTTTGAAATGATGGAAAAGAGATGTCTTCAAGCCAAATGTAAGAATGAATTTTGGAGAAACTTGTACTCCTATTCATCTTTGATATTTCAAAGTGCATCCCGATAATCTTTTCAGTTAAGTTATAATTGACTCACATTCAGATTCTTTCTCTCTCCTTCCTTCTCCTCCCCTCTCCCTCCCTCCTTCCTTCTCTTCCTCCTTCACATAGGAGCTTAAATTCTCAGTGACTGAGTGTCCTGTTGAAATTTAAGAAGAGTGGACACACAATGAACAAATAAACAAATATATTGTGTCTGGCAGTGGTTAAGTGCTCTGGTAAAAAGCAGGAGAAAATGGAGAGTTTATGTAACTTGGTGGAGGGAAATTTCACTGAGGCTGAGTTTTGAAGACCTTAAAGAAATGAGACAGAAAGGAGTCACACCATTTTTAAAAGTGTATTTTTATTAAGATGCTCATTCTATCCCCAATGTATAATATTTGAGCAACATGAGTGCAAAAGTGACAGAGACAGCATCTGCGTAGCCTAGGGCTTAGCTGTTTACATTAGCAACAGAGAGTAGCACAAGACGCATATTTTCTCTTTAACACCCTCTCCACAATATAACCCAGAATACTTTATAGTGTCTATTACCATTTCAAGGAGCCATAGTAGCAAAGAAGGCTGTATTGGGCTGCAACGTAAAGGTCAGTGGTTTGAACCCACCAGTGTCTCCTTAAGAGAAAGATGTGACAGCCTGCTCCTGCAAAAAGATTTACAGCCTTGGCAACCCAAGGGGTCAGCCCTACCCTGTTCTACAATCTCAATATAGACACAGTGGCATTTGAGTTTTATTTTCAGATGACTATTTCAGGAAGTTACTAAACATTTATTAACCTGAAATTTGGGGAATTTATTTGCAAGAGAAAGAAAAATTATTCACATTGAACAACTAAACAAACACGTGTGTGAATGTTCTCCCTTTTTTAAATTCATTGTCTCTGAAGTGCCTGAGATTTCAGGAATATCTAGTTACATTCTGCATGAGCTCCAATGCTCTTTCTTTCCTCAGAGGCCGACAGTTCCTCAGATCCATGACCTTGAAGAGTCTTGTTTGAGATGTGGTGCCAGTTCTCGTGACTGAAGCAGAGAAAACAATCTCTGAAAAAGACAGTATACATTGTGTTAGAGGTTCTGTAGTTCTGGTTTTGGAGGTGGTTGTTGCCCTTGTGTATTTACAATGCCTGTCCCTCCGATTTGGTATATAGCTCTCCTGACCGTCTATTACATAAAATTCTATTAATATTAGCTCAGACAAATGCCATTCCACAGTCTGCTAACAAATTATTTTCTAGTAAGATAATAGTTTGATTGTAATTCATAAAATCCCTTTTAAAATTCTAAGTTGGTTTGTCAACAGTTTGCTATAGTAAATTCACTTTCAAACGGTGGTATCATGCACACGCATGTTTATGGTGGCTTCGTTTGCAATAGCAAAGAGCTGGAAACAACTCATGAAATATTATTCAAAATAGGTGACCCTGGAGGACATTATACTGGGTGTAATGTCTCAGTCACAAAAGGACAAATATTGCATAATGCCACTGTGGTAAAACGGGATTGACATCAGGGTTGAGGGAAGGCAGAAAAGGAGGAGAGGAATGATGTATATTGCATTGAAACAGATGAGGGAGAGAACTGTTTAAAAAGGATGTGTGAATGGGTATTCTTGATTTTACAGAAGTCCAGGGTGAAGGCTGCATAATGGAGTGGACTTGAGTTGGGGGGGAGGGATTGCATAACAATGGAAGAGTTTTTCTTTTTAAGAAGAGTGAATAGGGGGTGGACGAGGGTGGATAGGGAGAAAAGTGCAACAGTGAATGATTGGAAACCCTATGTCTCTGTAAACTTTCATTAAAATTAATTAAAAACCAAAATAAAACAAAAACGGTGGAATCAAGAGCTGAGAGGAGACAGGAAAGCATAAAGGGAGCAGAGGTGTCCTTAAGATCGAATCACATTAGCCACCAGGCCTTTGCTATATGGAGACACGCTCTCTAGGGAGGAAAGTGGCTGTATTCATGGCAAGAGGAAAAGAAAGCAAATCTTCAATCTCATCCTAATAGTTTGTATCATGAATTGTCTATGTGCCTTTCGACCCGTTTTTGTTTTCTCCTAGGAGGTTGGACCAGGAGATTTATAGTAAACAAAGCAGCTTTATATTCAGTAGTTCTCTGAAAGTGTCATCACGAAGCAGCCCCTCTAGTCAACTTGCTTCCCGCTCCACGTGATCACAACCGGCAATTGACTCCTCTGTCTGCCCCAGTAAGTGTCCTCTGACACGTCAGTGCACTCACCCTAGGGTTGTTGGCGTGGACCTGATTCCACCAAAAGAGAGACCCATACACGGCTAGTAAGAGTTCCAGCACAGAGAACACAAGCATCACTGCCAGCACGCCCTGCAAGTCAGAACACAGTGGTCATTGCTGGCAACGCTGGTCCTCAGGCCTCACTGAGAGGAGACTGTGGGAGAAAGGGCCTCCTGGTGGCGAGAGTAAGGCCCAGAGACAATTTGTCAGCATCTTTTCTACTTTCTCTTTCACATCTCCTAGCAGAAGAGCTTCAAGACCATCAGAGAGATTGTTTTTGCTTCCTCTGTCCCCGCGATGAGAAGCCACAGAAGAAGAAAATCTTTCTCTTGAAAAGGCCACTCTTCTCATTCACTCACTTATTGCTATTAAGTTTGAAACAACGCATAGTTGACCCTTCAGTAGATTTTTGAAGTCTATAAATCACACAGGTGATTGCTCATGTTTCTCCTGTGGAACATCTTGTGGATTCAATTGCCTTCCTAATTTAGGTTGGCACCATAGCTCCTAATCCACTAGGCCACCAGAGTTTCCTTCTAAAAGACACAGGCTTTTGTTTTTAAAACCATTGTCGTTGTTGTGTTCCATGGAGTCAAAACTAACTGGTAGCTGACCCTCCAGTCAATTTTCAGAGGCTGTAAATCACATGGGAGGAGATTGCCCACCCTTCTCCCATGGAGCAGCTGGTGGTTTTGAACTGCTCACCTTTGGGATTGCAGCGCAGCTTCTTACCACTAGGCCACCAGAGCTCTTTAAAAACATTGTTGCTGTTGATTGCCAACGGGTTGAGCATGACTCATAGCAACACTATAAACAAAAGGTCAGAAGCCTTCCTAAAGTTCATAGCATTTCCAGAGGCATGTTGTTTACGAAGTGGATGCCACTCCTGCTTCCAAATTAAAACCATTGGTCCATCTACAAAGAGACTAAGGCAAGATTGTCACCATCAGTAGATGTTGACCATCAGGGTTGGGGAAAAGAAAAATGATGCACAGAGGCGTTGCCGTTTCTGCTAACAACTGAATCCATTGATAATCTGTCTCCCATCCTCCTTACTTTCAGCCAGTCTTACTGGACCAAATGATAATGATATGTTTGAGCTTATAGTTCAAGCTCTGTATCTCCCTCAATACAGCCAACAAACTCACACACTTTTTGGAATTAAACATTGGGTGGCTTTTCTTTGTTCTAAACTGAGACCTATGCTCTGTTCTTAGTGACTGTCAGAAGACTGTGACCTTTAGGTAGAGACTTCTGACCTCGATAAAGGGACTTGGGGATAATTTTAAAGTGAAATAAATTCAGATTAATAAAAGTATTTCTGTCTGTATTGAGACACAATACTTGCCCAACAAAGGTGAAACCTACAGTGCTAAACCTGTTGAGGTTGCAAGAGTTACTACTTAAGAAGGATTGCTGGCTGGCTAGATTTCCCGCTGCCCCCTCTTGACTTCCTTTTCTGACCGTACAATGTATTCTCTCACATTAATCACCCACTGACTTGTCCCTTCCTGTCATATGTATTTTTATTTCCTGGCTGCCTCTAGTATTTAGACCAGCCGAACCAAACAGTTTCAAAAGCAGTGTTTATGCAAAGTGGACATGCTGGGATTTCCCATGACAGACAATTCAGTCAGAAACTACTTACTATTAGACTGGTACTGGCCAGAAGACAGTCCTTGGTCTCATATGTCGAATCATAGTAGTTTGAATAAGGCAATGAAGACAGATAGGCCTCTTCTGGATCGCATGGCTGAGAGGCTGTCCACAGGGTTACCAGGTTGTCAGCAAGGAGGATGAGACCTGCTCCCGAGACCATAGAGCTCACTGCATTTGAGGTCAGGCTGCTCAGCGCCTGGAAGAGAAAGTCTGTGTGAGGTTGTCATCACGAAGGCCCTCCGGCTGCCCACTGCACACGGCTATGGGTCCTGCCTCCCTCACTTTGCCCCTCTCACGAAGACATTCAGATGGCCAATAAGCACATAAAGAAATGCTCAAAATCCCTAGCCCTAAGAGAGATGCAAATTAAAACAACTATGAGATATAATCTCACCCCAGTCAAAATAGCAAAATGTAACAGAACAGCAAGCAACAAATGCTGGCGAGGTTGTGGAGAAACTGGAACCCTGATTCACTGTTGGTGGGAGTGTAAAATCGTGCAACCACTATGGAAGGCAGTATGACGCTTTCTCAAAAAGTTGCAAATAGAAATACCATTTGACCCAGCAATTCCACTAGTGGGAATTTACCCTAAAGAAACCATAACTTTCCCCCAAGCAGATATATGCACACCCACATTTATTGCGGCTTTGTTCACAATAGTAAAGAGTTGGAAACAACCCAAGTGCGCAACAAATGAATGGATAGAGCTCTGGTATATTCACGCAATAGAATACTATGCAGCATTGAAAAACAAGGAATTAATGAAATATTATACAAAATAGGTGACCCTAGAGGACATTATGCTGAGTGAAATCTCTCAGTCACAAAAGGACAGATATTGAATAGGGCCACTGTTGAAAAACAGGACTGACATTGAAGTTGAGGGAAGACTGAGAAAGATGGGTTCAATAATGTATACTGCATTGAAACAGAGGAGGGAGAGAACAGTTTAAAAGGGATATATGATTGGGTACTTTTGCCATGACAGGAGTCCAGAGCGAAGGCTGCATAATGAAGTGGACTTGGGAGGAGGGATTGCATAACAATGAAAGAGTTTATCTTTTACTTTTCAAGGAGAAGAGTGAATTGCAGGAGAGAGAGGGGGCAGGGAGAAAAGTGCAACAATGAGTGACTGGAAACCCAAGTCTCTGTAAACTTTTCCCTCCTCTCTTTCCAAGACAAGGAATTGTCAGTCTGTAGCTGCTCCCCGCACAAAGAATTGGGCTGGAATAAGGAGGCAGAAGTTGAGGCTTTTGTTCTCTTCTATTGAAACCTTTCTTTCTGCCTCTGGCACCACCTACAGAGGTAGCTCAGGGAAAGTCACATCCTGATCCAGAAAGTGCCCTGGGTCATGGATGAAGACACATCGAAGGTGAACAAGCGTGGTATGTGCTCCTGGTACTTGAATCAGTGGTGTAAATCTAAGGACCAGCTGCGAGGCTTTGAGGAGTGAATAGCATGGGATCTGAGGTGTGAACTTGAAGCAAAAACTCCTGCTCTCCGATCCCAGCTCTGTTCTGGCTCCTTCTATGTACTTGGAGTTTTCTCATTTAGGAAAGGAAGAAGGCAAGTATGGTAATCTCTGCTAGTGGCTTCCTAAGACCACCTAAATGCATGTGACTGTTGTTAAGTGCCATTGAGTCAAGTACCACTAATAACGACTGTGTTATTAGTATAACAGCTCTGAACCCTGTCCTGTCCTGTGCCACCTCATCATCTCTGACCTGCTTGGGCCCATTGCTGCAGACACTGCATCATCCATTATACCGAGGGGCTTCCTTTCCACTGACCTTCCACATTACACACGATATCCTTGCCACTCCTAGCAATGTGCCCAAATTACAGGAAACAAAGTTTTACCAGCCTTGCCTATAAGAAGCACACTAGCTGCACTTTCTGCAAGGCATATTTGTTCTTTCAGCAGTCTATGCAATATTCAGTACTCTCCAACACAACAACCCAAAGGTACTGATTCTTCTCTTTATTCATTATCCAACTCTCAGATGCACAGCACGTGATTGAGCAGACCGTTGCTTGAATCAGATGCATCTTAATCTTTAAACTGGCATCATTGCTCTTCAGCACTTTGGAGAGGTACTCGACAAGCAGACCTTCCCAATGCGATATGTCTTGATTTCTTGACTGCTGCTACCAAGAGTGTTGATTGTGAATCCAAGCAAGATGAACTGTTGACAACTTCAATCTTTACGCATCTACCATAATGTTGCCTATTGACCCAGAGGATTTTTCTTGACATTGAGATGTAATCCAAATTAAGGTCTAAATACATAGGAAGGGACAATGATGTTTAGGATGGCTTGACAATCATGTGGACTCTACATGTTAGATATATGAAAATATTTGGGTCTCATTGCCCGTATGGTGGCTCTGGGAAAGGCCCTTCCTGGCCCAGTCAGGCTTTTCTTCTTTGAGTGGCTGAGATCTTGGGGCTGTGTTGCTACAGGGCAAGTGAGAGGAGGAACAGGGCAGCCACCATCCGCAATCCAGTTTCCTCCTATAATGTTCTAACAGGAGAGAAGATTGTGTCCTGGGAACCTTGAATAGAGCCTACTATATCTGTGCCTTTGTCAAAGAACTATTGTATCCTTTGTGGATTAGAACCCAACGAGGGTGTGATGAACTGTGTTCTCATGAGACCGACCTTCTCATAGGAAGACATTTCCACTCCTCCAGCTTGAGTCTACCTTTTGTTGTTTTTTCCTTTGTTTTCTGAAATGACTCCTTTATGTAAAGAGAAAGTACAGGTCACACTCCTGAGGGGGATGGGATCAAAAGTCATATTCTAAGCTTTAGGGCAATAGAATGAGTCTAAGGATTCTGGGGAAATCCAGACATGTGGGCAGTGGCCTGTGCAGTGCCACTTGTCTTCAGCTCTGCTGCCAAAGCTGACATCACACCCTTGCTCCTCTGCCGACTGTACCAGGTACTCTCAGCAAACTTTACAGACAAGAGGACACATTTGCACAGCATCATTCCCCTCCATCTTTCTTTCCTTTTAGTTTTTCTTGGTTTACTCCAGTTTTCAATGATAGATATTTGACTGAAGATAATCTCTCCTCCAATCTAGGTGAAGGCTTCAACAGCATCTCTGGGACAAAAATGGAACTCTCACTCTGCCCCTACCACGTTAGTCCTTGGCTTAAGCTAGCAGGTTGTAATCGTTCTTGTTCTTGTTGTTATTATTATTATTTTTATGTCCTGTCCAGGTGGGATCAACTTATAGTTTACCCTCCAGCAGGTTTTCAGAGACTAAATTGCAGCAGAAAAAATTGCTCAACTTTATTCTGAAGAGTAGCTGTTGGATTTGAACCCAGTACCACTGGGTTGGCAGCACAACTCTTTACCACTAAGTCACCAGAGGTTTCAAATCGTTTATAGCATATATGAGGCAAAAGACATCGGTTTTCTTTACTTAAGGTGATCTTTTCCCTTGTCTCTGGAGAAATAACTCTAGAAATAATTGATGTGTCTTGGTCTGGGACTTCCAGGATGTGCCTGAATATCTTTGGTGGTGTATAAGGACAGGGTAGACCAGAACAAATCTGGGAGGCGACTATCAAACCAGCTTCAGGAGGCATGATTAGCTCCTCATACAGGACTGACCAATAATAACACAGAACACTAAGACTCGGAGAGTCTCCAGGGTGGTGAAACAAGAGTGGTTTATAGCTTCAGACATAGGAGCTCCTCTCTGCAAAGCTTCCCAGATTTCACCCAGGCATGTCTTCTTTATAATGATGCTGAAGTAGAAGAAAGACTTCTACATAATCCAAACCTCAACAAGATAATTCAAAATATCTCCAAACATTGTCAAATATTCCAGGCAGGAGTAGAGGTCTGGGAAGTGCAAGAAGGAAGGAGGATATCACCCTAGTTAAGAATCATACTTCTAACATTAAAAGCTAATAAGTAACAGAGGAGGAACTAGGGTTAGATTTGTTTGTTTTTCTCAAAGTAATTTTCATTCCAATACTGTACGTGTATGGTCATTGCCAAGGTTCAAATACAGAAGTCCAAAAGTGGGGGGACAGGGAAAGAAAAAAAAAGAATAAAAGGGTACTTAAAAACTTTTTACTGTAATAAAACTGATATTGTTGTTAGGTGTAGTAAACTGATGACAGCTCACAGTGGCCCTATCAACAACAGATCCAAACCTTGCACTGTACTATTCCATTCTCATGATCTTTGACATACTCAAACTATTGTTACAGTCTCCATATCAATCCATTTTGTTGAGTGTCTTCTCTTTCTCTGATCCTCTAACTTGCCTAAAAGGAGTGATGGTTTTTTCCCCCAAGGACTGTTCCCTATTGACAAGATACCCCAAGTATGTGAAATGAAGTTTCATCATATTTGCCTCTAAGGAATATCCTGGTTGCCCCTTCTCTAAGGCAGATGTGTTTGTTCTTGTGGTAGTCCAAGATATATCCAGTACTCTCCTCCAGCATCACAATTCAAAGAGTAGATTCTCTTTCTGTTACCCTTATCGATGTCCAACTTTCAGATGTACACAAAACAACTGAAAATATAAAGTGGCATCATTGTCCTTTATCACTTTGGAGAGGTCCTTGACAGTCAACTTTTCCAATGCAAAGAGTCTTCTGATTCTTGGACTTCTGTTGCCGTTAAGTGTTGATCCAGGTAAAACGAAATTATGGGCAACTTCAATCTTTTCGCAATGTATCATGATGGTGTCTTCTGGCTCAGCGATGAGAATTTCTGCTTTCTTGATATTGAGGTGTAATCCATATGGAAGGCTGTGGTCTTTGATCTTCTGCAACAAGTACTTCAAATCCTCTTGGCTTTCTGAAAGCAAGTTTGTGTTATCTGTATAATGCAGTTGTTAATGAATCTTCCTATGTTCCTGATGCTACACTCTTCTTAATATAGTCCAGCTTTTCAAATGATTTGACCAGTATACAGATTGAATAGATATGGAGAAAAGATACAACTCAGATGCACACATTTTCTGATCTTAAACCATGCAGTGTTCCCTTGCAAATGGATAATCATAAATAAAGTATCTGCCATGAGTTCTGTGAGTTGTTCCAATAATTAATTAGTAACCCCAAAGATGATATTGTCATAACTCGCAAGGTATAATTTAGCTCTGGGTGCTCAGGGGCAGAGAGGGAGAATGTGCTGTGTGGGTTGCTGGTGTCAAAAATTGTAGAATAGTTGGAAAACAAGGATATAATTGATCTTCATCTCCTGGGAACAGGCTTTATGATGATTCCTGTCTATGAAGCTATCATTGTCATAGGTTTAAAAGTGTGCGCCTGATCCAGGCCATAGTCTTTGCAACTACTTGCTATGTATCAGACAGCTGGACAAGGACTAAGGAGGACAGAAGAAAAATCCATGCCTTTGAGTTGAGGTGCTAGAGAGAAGAGTGTTGAATATACCATGGACTGCTAAGAGAACAAACAGGTTTTTCCTGGAGAGGGTGAAACCAAGCTGCTCCTTGAAGGCAAGGATTTTGAAACTTTTTCTCACACACTTTGGGCATGATGTCAGGAGAGACCAGTCCTTGGAGAACATCAGGCTTGGGAGGGTGGAGGGACAGGACAGGAGAGGAAGACTCTAGATGAGAGGGATTGACTCAGTGACTGGAGTAATGGAGGTAGGGGTTTTGGAGACAATGAAATTGGTTCAAGAAAGAGCAGGGTTCAGGTCTGTTGTACAGAGGGTCGCTATGAGTTGCAGGCAACTTGAGTGCACATAACAATAAAGCTGAAACAATTTAAGTAAAACCCCTCTGCACTTGGATTACAGGACACATGTATAATTTGGTGGGAGAATACGAGTCTAAATCGCACTTCCATTTAGCTGATTCTGACCTACAGTGATGCTGTGGGACAGAGGAGGAACTGCCTGAGAGGATTTCCAAGGTTGTATGTCTTTACGGAAGCAGGTTGCCTCATCCTTTTCAATGCCACGCTGGCTCTTTAGTTGCTGATTCACAAGGCAGGAAATCTGAACTCTACGACTAGTTCAGCCACAGGCCAGCCGGATCTTGGTCCTCCTCACTTCTTATGAGTCTTATTTCCCTAAACTGTAAAATGTAGATTTTTCTTTTAAACTGGAAATATTAACCCTTGTGTTTCTTCTTAATTCAATTCCAAGCACACGGGATTTGGTTTTCATACTTACAAAAGACTTAGTTGATATTCTCCCAGAGATAATTGAGAGCGATCCCGTAATGGCAAACTGCTCAGAAAAGAGAAGAATGGTTAGTGCCATTGTCTCGTGGAAATATATTTACTATGTCACTTTCAGTGGTGCAGGTAAGTATCAGTGAAGAACCTTTAGGCCGATAGCACCATGAGAGTAGTGCTCATTCCCAATGATTTCACTAAAGCCCATTACGGTTGAGGTGATTTCATTCATGATGACTCCATTGGATTTCTGACGCTTCCCACATTTATGGGAGGAAACTGCCTACCTTTTTCCTGTGGCGTGGCTAGTGGGTTCAAAATATCAACCTTTGTGTTAGCAACCCAACATATATTTCACTATATTACCAGGGAGTCGTGTTATGTAGGCTCTATTTCTGTCCTCAGAGTATTTATACCAGCATGAAGAACTGGTCGGTGCAGCGAGGAGAAAGATTTATGGTAATGGAAATCCTAGACGCTGAAGAGTGCTGGGAAGAAGTTGTCCAGTTAGGAGAATTGCTGAGTTACTGGGTCAACAGAGAAAAGGATGGGACAGATCAATGACTTGGAAGGACAGGGAGTAAGCTGCATAAGCACTTGAGGAAAGATTTTAAAACTAAAACTCAAAAGCATATAGACTTCAAGCCATTGATGTAGGTGACTTGAGCCATTCAGGAAGTTGAGGAAGCTAGGAAAGTGAAGTCAGGTGTGAAGAGTCTTTCATCATAACTCCCCAAGTCAGTAGTGTTAAGGTGGAGGCTTGGTGAAGAAGAGGAAAGAAGACCTTCTACCAGATGGACTGGCGCAGTGCCTGCAACAGTGGGCTCAGCTGTGTCAGAGATGACGAAGATGGCACAGGATGGGACACGATTCAGTTCAGTTGTTCATATGAGTTGTATTTGACTTGATAGCACCTAACAGCAACACGTAGTAAAAGATTTTTTTTTTTTTGAGAAGCTAAAACACCAGTTATGTTTGTGCTTTGGGGGTTGGATAACCCAAAAGGAAGTGTGTGTTACTGTTGTTGTCAGGGGCCATCAGGGTGACTAGGATTCACTGTGACCCTCTGAACCACAGATCTGACTCTTGCTCTATCTTGTCCCTTCTTCCCTCACCATCCCTGGTGTCTCAAGCCCATTATTACAGGGGCTGCGTCAGCCCATCTTATTGTGGGTCTTCCTTCCTTTCTCTCACCCTTCAGCTTCCTAAGAATGATGTCTTTTTCCCAAAACTGGCCACTCCTGATGACATGCCCAAAGTATGTACTAAGTCTAGTTTTTGTGAGGGAATCTGGGAGTCCCAGCCACCGGTTAAAAGAGTCAAGAAGAAAGAATGCTTTGGGAGCAAGAACACCGTCTCTGTGTAAGACCTTACAAAGGCGGTGCCTTGGTTTCGTTTATCTCCCCACAATATTGTTGTTGTTGTTGTCGTTGTCATGTGCTGTTGAGTCAACTGTGACTCACAGCATCCCTGTGACTCACAGCATCCCTGGAAACAATGGCTCTGAAGCCTGCCCTATCCTGAGGCAATCTCACCATCTCTGACACAGCCGACCCCATTGCCACTTTCACTGTGTCAATCCATCTCATCTGGGGTGTTCCTCTCTCGTGCTGACCCTCTACTCCTCCAAGCATAATGTCCTTTTATTCCTCTTATAAGACGTTACCCGTGAAAAAGTGAGCTCTGGTGATCTAATGGTAAGGTAAGGCATTGCACTTTCCACATGAAGGGAAGGGTTTGAATCCACCAGCTGCTGGGCGGTTTCCTCCAGTGCAATTTATTGCCTCTGAAAAACCTGCTAGAGGGTTAGCTCCGGGTCAGTTGCAACTTGATGGTACACAACAAATACACAGTGAAATCTTGTCCCTTTGAGGGAGAGGTGATAAGATTCAAGCTACTGAGCTTGGGGGAGTCCTCTTGAGTCATTTTCATTAGCCATTCGATAGAAGGCAACTAAAAGAGTTCTCCTAGTGTTCAGGATTGCCTCTTAACATCTAACCACAATGTCTCTGTTCCCCCACGAATTCTAGCACTGCTAATCCAGTTATCTACAAAGCGGCTACACCTCACAATCCTGTTCATTTTGTTGTTAAAAAGACCTTCTCACTTTCTACCTACTAGATGGATTATCTTTAAAATGGAGTGAATACAGCAGCAGCATCAAAGCCTCAGAAAGTTGTGCCAATTCAAGGCACTTCCCCAGAAGCCTGCAGAACAGAGCTAGTTAACAAAGGCTACGTCGGAACTCCCCCCTCCTGACTCCTGCCCACACCAACGCGTCTCTTGGCTGCTCATGCAGAAGGAAAGATCCAAGCCTTCTGTTCCTCAGCCTGCATGGAAGAGACATAACGTGGGATGGATGATAAGAGAAAGTCAAAGACCTTGACCTTCTTCTCTGTTCCAAGCCCTTTGGAGTTGAGTTAATCCAAGGCAAAGCACCCAGCTGACATTTGTAAAGCAGATTCCCTCGTGGAGACCCCACTACTTACACACAGAGACCCTACAAATGAGTATCCAGACATGAAGATGCCAGAAACTTCTGGAATGAAGTGGAAAAAGTAGGGAGCAAAACCCAAAACTGCCCCCAAGCTGGAAATCATCATGCAGGACAGGATCTGAATAGTCTGAAAGACAAGAGGAGGTAGGAAAGGAGATGTTAATAGTGAGTCCAGTTCACGTCTTCCAAGACTTCACTGTCTTTGCAGTTGTGAACATCGTAAAGGAAAATACTTTGATAGATGATTTTCTTGACTCAAGTGCAGTTGTATATACCATGGACACGATGTTAGCTAATTAAAGCCAAAAAGTCTCAAAGGCCTTTCTTATTTTATGTAAAGGTTTTTACAAAGCTGAATGAATCTTTTTTAAAATTTTTTTAAATTTTATTATCTTTTGTGTGTGTTGCCAAATTAGATCTGACTGGTACAGGAGGAGATTGCCCCTCCTTCTCCAGCAGAGCATCTGGTGGATTCAAACCACATACCTCTGAGCTTGCAGTGCAGCTTCTTGCCACTAGGCCACCAGAGCTCTCTATTCTGGTTGAATCTTTTTAACAGCATCATTTGTCTTTCTCATGGGAAGCCTACACGCTGCTTTCTCAGGTACTACAATGGCTACAGCCCCTTTCTCCTTCTGTGCTCCTTGGAACACATGAATTGTTCCTCAGATCCAGGCAGAAGTCTGGGAAACATGAATGCTTTCCACCACTGTTTTAAAGAAACAACTGGATGTAATCCACCCTGCACAGCCTCATGGGATCTGCAGCATTTTGATAGAAACTTAAAGCAAACTTCAAAATAAAACAAGCCCACACTTAACACCAAGTCGGCCTCTGTAAAGTAATCTCCAATGTCATGTTCACGTGTGCACGTGGTAAACCACCAAGCAAACAAAGAAAGCCTCTTTCTCCTGAGCTATACTTGATGAAACTGGAGCAAGGAAAAGGCACAACTCTTGCTTTCAAATCTCAAGTTTCCTCATTATTTTTTGTGTATACATTCATTTAGCAAAATGCAGAGCAAACTCAGTGTTCTTGAGTCTATCCTGCAGCCTAGGGACCCTGCAAGACAGAGCAGAACTCAACTGTGAGGTTCCCAAGGCTGTAGTTCTGTGTTGGAACAAACAAGCTCATGGTTCATCTGAGTAGGTGGTGGGTTAGAGCCACTGGCAATATGATTAGCAGCTCAGTACTTAGCCCACTGTGCCACCAGGGCATTTTAAAATGTGGAAAGTAAAAAAAAAGTGGAATGTGGTGGGTTTTTGTTTATTTGTTTTGGATTTGTTTTCATTATTGATGAATCCAAGGAATAGCTCAGGAACTGATAGGACACGATGTTAGCATGGTTATCTACACGAGTATTGAAATAACCAAGGCTTAGGGTGGGAACTCTATTGGAGGTCACTACCATGGTCTTGGAGTCATAGTTCTCAAGGATTATAGCAGCATCACATGGTGGCATAAAAGAAGAGGGACTGAATTACAGGGTGGGATCATATAGGATTCTAAAGGAGGGAGCTTTAGGAAGGAAAGACTTATCCCATTGTATCTCTGAGAAACAAAGAGAAACCAACTCCATCCACAGCGATTCCCAGAGATAAGAGTTAGAGTGGAAGAAGCCACTACAGGAAGTAGGTAGATTCCTGACTGCACAATACAGGAAACACTTGAGAAAAGAGTTTAAAGACAGTGATTATTATATTGTTAACTGACTTTGAATTCCAGAGGACACATTTTGGGCAGATTCCCAACTTTGGAACAGGTAGAAATTGATTCTTAAAAGAGACTGTTCCAAATCATTTAGAACGTAAAGCCCTGGATGTGAGGGAGGACAGTGGTAAGGAGCTGCTCTGTATTCCCCAAGGCACATTCAAATCCACCAGCTTCTCCATGGGAGAAGAAGGGGCGACGTCCTCCTGTGCTGTGTGCTGCCTCTGAAAACTAGCTGAAGGGTCAGCTCTGAGTCCTTTCTGACTCACCAGCACACAGCAACAGCAATAATCAGAACAATCTATGACACTTGGGAATTCTGTGGAGACTCATACAACAGGAATAAAAGTATGTGGAGTCCAGATTGTCTCATCTCCAAACATTTGAAAGGATGAAGTAAAATCAATGTCTAGTTTAAAGATATTGGAACAAAATTATATCATTAGCTCTAAAATCTCTAGTACATAAAAGACAGATTAGGAGCGACTTAGTGGACTAGCATTCAGATACAAAATACTCTATGGAGAGACCTGAGAAACATAATGTTATGTTTTGCGCTCCCCCTACCTCCGCTCCCTGAAAGTTCTATTTTATGTTCCAACAAACCTGCAGTCAGCTAAGGAATAAGAATTTTTAAAACTTCCCACATCCGTTATAGATCTCTAGTCTGGAGACATTCATGTTCTATTCTCGCCGTTTCATCCCGAAATAAAATGTACATACGCCCAGAACTGTGGCCTCCTTTTGCAAGTCATTCTTCAGGGTATCGTCTTTCTGAGAAGTGTATCCAGGTTTCTCTCTCTGGAGAATAATTCTGTCCTTGGGAGTGAAGAGGCTAACGAGCTCCTTCATCTTGGGCTGTGATAACCTCATAGTGATGATACTGGAAAGGAGAATGAAACCAATTAGAATCGAGGGCTTTTTACTTAAAGGCATAATCCTCCCAGGAACTTTGGAGAAATATGTTGTTGTTTTTGTTGTTATATGCCATGAATCGACTCTTATTCCGAGCAACCCTTAGTACAACAACTCTGAGCTCTGCTCTATACCGAGCCCATTTCACTGTCTCCAGACCCTGGATGAGATTGCAGAAATATAAGAAGGTGTTTTTCCATTATCCAAAGAATGACAGGTCTATAAACAATTCAGGAACTGAGAGGACATCGTATTGGAATGATCATCAAGCTGGGTATTGAACTAGCCAAGATTTTTTTATTTTATAAGAATTCTATTAGTGGGAACAAGCATGGTCTAGAAGTCAATATTTTCAAAGCACACAGTGGAATGACCTGGAGAAACGAAAGAAGAGGCATAAATTGCATAAATTCAAGTTTGTGAATTGTAAGGGAGGAGTTTGCTCCTGGAGCTGCTGGTGAGTTCGAAACTGCATAGGGAGGATGTCACCTTTGGATTAGCAGTGCAGCTCCCTGAGGAGTCTGCCACCGGAGCTCCCCACTTGACTCTGAGGAACAAAAGAGAAAGTAGGGAACAGTAGGAACATTGGAAAGCTAACAGGCTTGCAAAGCGTTGGTAGACAGCAAGTATGCCCCTGGAAGAAAACTGGGCAATTTCAGAGGACTCTTACAATTGAGAGGCAAATTATTTCCCACAGCAATTGATTTTCAGTCCTCAGTGTATCTGGTTCTATTTCCCTCTGGCTGTCCCTGCTTATAGTGTCCCTTCCCTATTCCCTGTATCTCTTCCTCTCCTGCATTCATGGCCACATCACATCCCTAACTCTGCACGTATATTCTACTTCTGCACTGCCGAGACCTCCAACTTCTCATTTCATAAGCCATTTCCTACTCAAAATATCTCTTTGCTTGTTGCTGTTGTTATGTGTCATCAAGTTGTATGCAACTCATAATGACTCGATGTACAACTGCTCTGAAGCCTGCCCTGTCCTGAGACAGTCTCACTGACTCCGGCACACAAACCTCTATTACCCCAGTTACTGTATCAACTATCTCATCTGGAGTCTTCCTCTCCTGCGCTGACCCTCCGCCCTTCCAAGCATGATGCCCTTCTCCAAGGACTGAGCCCTCCTGGCCATGTGCTCATACTATGTGAGGTGGAGCGCCAAAATCCTAGTCTCCAAGGAGAGACTTGGTTTCACCCTCTTCAAGACAGAACTATTTGTTCTCTTCGTGGTCCAAGACTCTTCTCCAGCACCACAACTCCAAGGTTTCTATTCTTTTCCTGTCACCCTTAGTCATTGTCCAGCTCTCTGATGCATAGCAAGTAATTGCAAAGACCAATGGCCTGGATCTCTTTGCTTATATTGGTTTAATGCTTATTAAGAAAAGCATTTCTTGACCTTATTAAGAAAAGCATTTCTTGACCTTCTGCAGGCACTAAATTCCAAGCAGAGATATAGTAGTTGTAATAACTTAACAAATTAAAAGTTATGAAACCTATTTTATACACCAGGAACTCTGGACTGGTGAATTCAAGTTATGCTTGTTGGGTTTGGTTTTTTAAAATAGATACACAAAGCATTCGGCTAGGGACATAGGAAGTGTTTAATAAATAGCGGCAAATATAATTCTTGTTAGTGTGTGTTTGCATACTGGGAAGTACCTAAGACAGGGCGACCTGGTCCAGAAGCTTGTCATTTTTTTCCTGTACACACGATTTCTGCTCACATTCTCTTTCCTTACTCTCTAGCACTGCATGTTCTGATGGGAATGTTGACGAGGTGATCTGTAGTTCAGCAGCTTAGCACAGTAGCTGGGTCTCTATGGCATCAGCAGCAAAGCTCAGCCTCAGCACCATAGTCTCCCTTCCTGAGAGTCGTAGTCCGGACAGTGGCTTGAGATCCCCTGAAGGTGCCAGTGTTCTGCACCCTGACACTTGACCTTAATGCTGTAGCATGCTTCCAGGCTCTCTGGAGGGCCCTAAAGGCTAGCACATGGTTAAGCACTTAGCTGCTACCTGAAAGATTGACCATTTGAACCTCCCATGCTCTCTTGAAGAAAGATGTGGCAGACTCCTTTCATAAACGTTGTTGCTGTTACATACCATCAAGTTGGAACTGACTGGGAACTAGCTGACTCTCCAGTGGGTTTTCAGAAGCAGCTAACTGCACAGGAGGAGATTGCCCATCTTTCTCCTGAAAAGCAGCTTGTGGATATGAACTGTGTGCCTTTGGGATTGCAGCACAGCTTCTTACACAGGATCCTACGGTACAGTTCTCCTCTGTCAGAACATGATGGCTGTGGGTTCCAGGCTGCCTGGGAGGGAACACGTGGCTCATACAGATAAGGAATGACACTTCAGATTTTCTTGCTAGTGAATGGGATAGGAAAGAGTGCAGGGATGGGATTCCAATGACTGAATCCCCTACTGTGCATCTGGCTCTGTCGTAGAATCTAGTTTTATACACACACTCCTCACTTACTGACTTGACTAAGTTTGAAAAGAAAAATTATTAAGAGCAAAGATCAGCATTATGCAAGAATAGAGAATGATCACATCAGATCACAAAGTGGAGGGTAACTACATCATGGCATAACTGTAAACCACTGAGAATCATGAAACAGTGGCCACATAACTTTAAACATCACAGTCAGCATTACCCTCACCTTATACTTCAAAGGTCAATGCTGCCATCTATACATCAAATCCAATAGTAGATATCTCACTATTATAAATTTGAAATATCTGATAATAAGATAGGTCTTCATAGTTATTTACTTTGCACCAGAGAGCTGGACATTGACTAAGGATGACAGAAGAAGAATCAATGCCTTTGGGTTGTGCTGCTGGTGAGGGATCTTGAACATACCATGAACTGCTAAGAGAACAAACAGCTCTGTACTGAAGAGGGTGAAACCAGGTTGCTCCTTGGAGGCTAGGATTTTGAAGCACAGCCCAGCCAAGTTCACACTGAACTTTAAGCTTCAGAGCCCAAGTTACTTATATTTCAGAGGTGTAGCAGTAAGAAGCTGCGTTGCAATCCCAAAGTCACATGGTTCAAATCCATCAGCTGTTCCACAGTAAAAGAAAGCACAATTCCCCCCCCCCCATGCTATTTACTTCTTCTCCATATTGGCTGGAGGGTCAACTATGAGTCGATTCTGAGTTGACAGTACACAACAACAACAACAACAATGATGACAATTCATATATAATTTCCATCATGTACTATAAAACTCACTGGTTGTTTTTGAGTTGTTCACTATGATGTTCAATGATCCTCTGTGGTTTCAGTGGTTGAGTTCTTTTTTTTTTATTGATATTTTAATGTAAGTTTATAAAGAAATTGGATTTCCATTCATTGATTGTTGCACAATTTCTTCCCTGCCCCAACTCCCCCCTAGTTTGCCTTTTTGGGGGGTGGAAAGTTCTTTTGTTATTATGCAGTCCCCCCGCCCCAGACCACTTTACAATTCTACCTCTTATTCTGGACTCTTGTCATGTCAATAATATCTAATTATATATTCCTTTTATACACTTCTCTCCCTCTTCTGTTTCAATGCTGTGTACATTATTTATTCCCTCTTTTCTTAGTTTCCCCCCAGCCCCCTTGTCAGTCTTGTTTTATATCAGTGGTATTATGCAGTATTTGTCTTTTTGTGACTAAGATATTTCACTCAGCATAATGTCCTCCAGGGTCACCCATTTTGTATACTATTTCATGAGTTCTTTGTTTTTCAGTGAATCATAATATTCCATTGTGTGAATATATCACAACTTCTCTAACCATTTGTTGATGGTCATTTGGGTTGTTTCCAACCCTTTGCTATTGTGAACAAAAGCAGCATTAAACATGGGTGTGCATATGTATCCTTGGGTGGCAGTTATGGTCTCTTTGGAGTGTATTCCCAGTAGTGGAATTGCTGGGTCAAATGGTATCTCTACTTGTAACTTTTTGAGAAAGTGCCATACTGCCTTCCATAGTGGCTGCACCTATTTTACACTCCCACCAACAGTGAATAACGGTTCCAGTTTCTCCACAACCTCACCGATATTTGTTGTTTGCTGGCCTGTTGAATTTTGCTATTCTTACTGGAGTGGTTGAGTTCTTAAAAGCAGACCAATGGACCTTTCTTTTGAGGTGTCCCTGAGTGGACTCAAATCTCCAACCTTTAATTTAGCAAACAGTCAGTGCCACTACCCCGGGACTTCTTAAATGCTTCACACTAGATGCTGCTGAGTCTGCCTAACAGCAACCATACACACAACAGTGCAAGTCATGCCTGGTTCTACACCATCACCAGAAAGTGATTTTCATCAGTTCATAGGTCTATGGTGACAGTAAGACAGGATGAGGGTGGTAATATGCTCCACATAGGGCAGGGCCCGTGACAAGCTTTCAGTACATGTCCATTAGACCTAAAACTCCTAGGATGCCATTGCTGAAACCTATCTCGCCACGAACAGATTATCTTCCTTTACTGGCCAGTCAGTTCCAAATAATGACCTCATAGGACAGAGCAGCACTGCCCATAGGACTTCTGAGTAGACTGCCACATCTTTCCCCATGGAGTAGCTGGTGGGTTTGAACCACTCACCATTTGGTTAGCAGCCAAGCACTTAATGGTTGTGCTAGTAAGCATCCTACTTTATAATTACCTTATTAGATCAACACTGTTGTTGAGTGCTGTCAAGTGAGAACTCCATCTCCCCCCACCCCACCGCTGACCCTCTCTACAGGTTACAGAGACAGTAACTGCGCAGGAGGAGACTGGTCATCTTTCTCCAGTGGCTGGAGGACTAGAACTGTGTACCTTTGTATGGGCAGCATGATTCTTTACCACCAAGCCACCGGAGTTAATAAAAATACCAAAGTTCAATCCCAGAGGTAGTGGTTCGAGGCCACCAGATGCTCTGCTGGAGAAGGAAGGGCA